CGGGCAAGGTAATCACCATGTTACTATAATTGGCGTGTCTGCTATTTTCACCATATTCTGAACATTTTTTGCTCTATACAAGTGGGATGACACATTCACTTTACTCACATTGTTAGCTTCATCATCGTGATCATCAATATGAGGTGATGATGATTAAGTTCGTGGCATATTTTTTTATATCTCGAACCTAATCATCGTCGCGTGTGAACATCACGAAGTCGCGTTTGAATTTAAACCGAAGTTACAAATGAAAAACCGAGTGAATTATGGCACATCGAAATGAAATGCATCGCTGTTCATATTGAGACTTTTTATGGGCTGTTAATATAACCCGTCGTAACACATCATATTCTTTCATTTACAATCTGTTTTAAATGAGTCGTGCTAGTCGCATTTGCTTGTGGAGCTTCAGTTCATTTATTGGGAAATTGCTTTCCGAATCATTAAAGCATCAGCGTTTGATTAGATTTAAGCTAGTATTTATTGAAGAGAAAACAATTCTTCATAAACGTTATCTTAGGCAACGTGACATTGCTTAGAGAACGTTCCAACACACGATTCAACAGTTGAGTAGCTGTAACATAATATCAATATCACACTAATATGAACAACGATATATTATTTATCATAACTGCAATATGACTTACATTAAATATACAATAAACAGACATTCTGCATTTGCTAAGGCCCTCTAATGGGCAACATGTTCAGATTAACTGTAGTCCATCAATGAAGGTTATGTGTTTGAATAATTTTACTATAAATTAAATGACACCATGATTTTGACACCATGAAAGAATTCTATCATTGGAAGGTGTGATTCATAGCACTTATGTCACTCCAATGATCACGGCAGATCAAAATTAGCATTTGATTATTAATTTGGTTAAATATCATATCCGTATACTGCATACACTGCTACATCGTGATTGGATAATCTTTCCCTAGTAACTGTCTGTAAATTGCTTTTTTGTCAATTATTGTTTAAAGCGCAGTGGTCGTCGCGCAGACGTGTTCGAATTTCATGTAAATAAACAATGTATTTTACACGCGTTGTATACGTCGCTATGAGTCTCGTATCGAACAGGACGCGGCACGACGACTGTCACCCTTTAAATACTGCTTTTCTTTTACGATAACAATGTCAATGCAAACCTTGTAATAATGGTTCTACCCCAAGGCAGATGTTAAGAACCATGTCTTATAAAGGTTCTAGCAAGTTACTCTGTTAACGACTTTAGTATGATTTCAGAGTTCGGCCTGTACCATGTGTTAAATGCCTTGTTATACCATAGAGCGCAATAGAAGACACGTTGATCCTATAAGTCATTCAAATTTTATAAATCATAATGTGTTTGAGTGTGGTATGTAAGGAACAGGTGAAGCTCTCACAGAATGATAAACTCAGCCTCAAGTAACATAGAGTTATTTACTATTAACAAATGATTACATAACTGATTGAATGATTTTTTTCATGTCAAAAGATATGTATAGTTGATTATGTGGAATAATTCTTGTTTGCAGTCCTCATATAATACATGCAATTATGTAAACGGTATCCTCAAAAGTAACATTTGTTACTTAGAGAAATACTCTCAACCCATTTTACTGATCAATGTGATGATGTGCGTTATGAAAACTAGAACAAAATTGAAATAGAGTTAAAATCTCATTCTAATATTTGGTCAGTTTATCCTTTAATTAGTAGGCAATAATCTGTGTTCACCTCCGATGAATTGTTAAAATGGTGACCAAATGTGGTAAGTTTGCAGTGTGAATTGTTTTTGCCCACAAGTATCGCTTTATTTAGCACCCCTCAATATAACCATCTTATTGAATCTTATATGATTTTTCTGATAATTGCCCATGGAAGTGTGTAAAACATTCTATACAAATCTTAACCAACATACTCCCTATCAATACACATATGCGCTTACCACGAAGTACCAAAACTAATGGTTCGATTAAAATGTCAAAGAAATTGAACATTCATGGCACAGTTTGGTGGACGGGTGTGTCGTCGTGATGTATTGATTGAGTGAGCCGAAACCTCTGCATGGACGTCAAAATTGAGTAACAAATTGATGAGATGAAGACTATAAAGCATTAACTCAAAAGGAAATGAAAAGCTCTAGTTAATGCGCAGAATTGGGAGGGTTCGATATTCTCGAGTGTTTTTTCTCTATAATATATAACAAATTGCTAATCACTGTACTCTTAACTTATATAAATAACTTATTATTTCTTTAATGTTGGTATTTTCAGGAATGCAGTTTTGTTTTTAAAAAAATAGGTTTGAAAGTTGTGGACAGTATACCATGACTTATGTAATCATATTAATTGCCTAATATTCAGGTTTTCATGCTTCTAAAACAACATCATGATCATCTACATCAACTAGTATTTTAATGCTATATATACATTATTGTATGTAATCATATCACATTTCTGCTATTAACTTCGTTTTCAAATATCCAATTCAGAATTAGCATAACTTTACGTCTTAACCAAAAATGAGTCAATTCACAATGCCAACTTCATTGCCCCTGATACTAGGCTGACACGCAAACCACTACGCAAAACAACCCGTTCCATCAATTTGAAAGCACATGTCAAATCCTATGTCAACATGTGACTCCTCGGGGTAATTAGCAAACATTTGTTTCTTGTGATTGCGAAACACGAAAAAAGAATGAAATAGAAATGACATCATCACATTCGTGATGGAGAAAGTCGCCCGCCCCATGATTACTCACATACATGTTAAACTCATATATTTCATGGATATAAGCAATACATAGCGATTGAATTTTTCAGGCGCACGATCAATATTAACAGTAATTACAGTCTCCCTGATTAACAATACATAATGAAACCAACATCCAACCTGAAAAATTTAATTCAATTACTTATAAATAACAGTACAAACAGAATGAAATATGGCTTTTTCACACTAAAAGGACATCCAGGCAACCTCCCATACTCTTCCAAGTTACACAGTAACCATGACACTCTCGGGCTATGAATAATGCCTAAAACTTCTAATAACTAACAAACTATCACATTATTCATTATTCCTGAACGTATTTTATCTCAGAGACACTGTGATGAAGCAATATACTATTACCTGTACAATTTCCATGCAGTTACGAAATCTTTGCAGTCTACATATTTGCCTTTTTTTAGCACTTGCCCACACTTCTATACCAGAATGCATAACTTCAGAAAATAATCGTATCACTATCTAAATAGTTTCTGAGAAATTTACAACACAGAAAATGAGAAACCAAGCTATTGCTACTGCAAAACCTCACAATCAGTGAACGTGAGTCTAAAACTTACAGAATCAGAGTCTGTAAGCCAAAATTATATCCTGCCCTCCTTAGGGTGTGGAAGAAAACAATTCCACATAGGACTGCAAGATTTATTATAGTGTTTCGGTGATCACGTTATAGGCATTGGTTGACTTAATTTGAAGAAGGATGTGATAATTTGAAATACATTTAAATGGTAACCATTTTATCCGTTGTAGTCTCATATATTAATGTTATGATCATGACGTCATACGGCAATCTCAATCGTTTTTGTAATAAAAGGGAGGTATCTGTATTATCTATAACTGCGCATGCGTCAAACTATCTGCATATGCTTATTAAGTATTATAACATAATTTGATGTCTATATCAGCAACAGCAGGCGCTTACTTAAACCACTTTGCGAACACTCAACACATCGGTGATTTTGTGCTCTTTTCCCGTCTGATCACAGGTACTGTCACAGTGATAACCGCTAACTACACGATCGCCTATTATTTTTTTTACTAATGAATCTGCATTCACCTTTTTCAGGCAAAACAGAAATGCATTTGTGCATTGTCATTATTAGATTTATGGCTGTAATTTTTGTAGCGCTCACAGTAGTCGAAGCCAATCCAATTCACCGACCGTCGATGTTATCAGAATGGTTGAGGACGTTAAAAGACGAGAATGATCGTGACACCAATATCGGCTACAGAGAAATTACTGGTGAGTTAAAACTCCTTTATTCTACTCTATTTTATTTTATTTTAGAATATTCATACTTGAAGCACGCTTTTGGCCAATAATTGAGTTGCCAGGACGTGGTTTTGACGTTCAAAGTATTTTTACACAAAATGTCCTTATAGGCATATAGGCCGCACATTATTGTATGTATCAGAGATTCAGTTTAGATAATTTTCTGAGACAACTACTCACAGCTTTCTGTCGTTTTCCCGAAGCATTTAAGCGCAATCCAACGTCCGGACACTCAATTGGTTTATCGTTAGATATAATCAGAGACAGACTTGAGAAGGCTGAATCAGAAAGAATGCAGCAAGAAAAACAGAGCGACATCAATAGATACAGACAAAACACTGAACTCATGACAGGACTTGGAAGACGACGAAGAAGTATGGAAGAAGTTTATCGACAATAGACGTGGGTTTTTACGCCTCCAGGTAATTTTGTTTTATCAACATCCCTACTTTATTCGAGAAATGAATATTTGTGTAGATCACAAAACCATTACCAATAATACAAACCGTGCTTACTCCACGCTTGCTAGAGAATGAATTTCATATATTGCTCATTATTCGTCTGTGTGTATCCGAAATATACAATACCTGTTTTATATAATTATAGCCGATATATTTCAATTAAAAATGTACTAATTATTTGCTCACATAATGTATTAGTCAAATTATTTTAGAAAACTGATTTGACATATTGAAGGGTCTTGTTACATAATCGCGGTATTATAGTTCATTTATAATTTGTAATTTTTCTTAGCCATTTAATTTCTTATTTTCCAATATCTAATTCTGGCATATTATGTGACTCTAAAGCGACTACGAAACTAATATTCTACCATGTTGATGCTTAAAGAAGTACAGGAAATTAATATACAGTACCCGCAGCGTAAGAACAAAACAAACGCTCTGTTTAATCTTTTGAAATATAAATCCCACTGCATTTTCATATAGATACCATCTGCCGATATTTAGTGTTTACATCTAAATGCGTTTCGGGTATCAGCATAAGAATTGCTTCTCGTCTTGTGCCGGCATGGTGCTCCAATAACATGAACATGTAGTCAGGGTTTTACGCCCCTAATTTCTATAATGTGTAAGTTTGGTGACAGGCACGACATTGAATGTAATGTATCAGTGACATATAGTTCGATATATTTTTTAACTTATATGAAATATGGTGTTGATAATTTATTTCACAAAACTTATATCCTTCAATTGCCGTTGTTTTACACAACGTATATCGATGTGACTTTAGCTTGGGTCATATGGCTAGACTGATTTCAGCTACATCACAAAGGTTGATTTATGATGAACAAAAGTTGTTTTGCGACGTGATCAATGACCGTGCTGCAACGAAATGTTCACTGCGTCGACTAAAATCTGCATGGCCTTGCTTAAACTAGACATAATCCACACAGAAACATGTCTCTGAATCATTCACAAATATATTAAGTCATAGAGAATATTCTTTCAAAAGTCATAATTTGCGTATTACATTTCTAATATAACAAATCAAGCAATGTCTCTGTCTTCTGTATATGTTGATAGCAAACTTTTTTTTTAATTTTCATGTACTTTTCATGCCTTTCAAAAATCATTTCAGCATGTCTACGTGGATATACACTGTGCATACTATCCGTGACTGATTAGCTATATTCTATTCATTGTAGGTGCCTTCAAGCTTGCTTTGATTGGATTTCCAATATAGACGTATTCATGGCAGTGGACAAAGTTATTACTGGTAGCTGCTCTTTACATAGCACTTAATGTTAATCTTGCTCATTTTTTCTTATTTATTTATTTGTCTATTTTAACTTACTTCGTAGATATGCTCTCAAAATGTATTTCAAAGAATATTTACTCCCAAAGAACGGACACAGACATATTTTTATAAATCTCAGATCAAATGACATGGATGCCATTTTTTTGAAAAAGCAAAAACAATACCATTCGAAATAGAGCTGGCGGATAAATTTCACTAAAACACAGTGAACTGTCATAGTAATTGCAGATATGATCCAAAAGTGTAGATTCTGAATCTGTATGCTCTTTCTGTCAATAAAAAAGATATTTTATTGAATAAAACATTTTAAATTCACAAATAGGTTCAGTTTCGGTTCAGGAAAAATAAAAAATGTTGAACAGGTCACATCTGCAATGTGGAGAAGTGAATAAGGAGTAATTCATTGATCAATGTATAGAAGTGAATAGAGAGTGTCACAATGATCAATATATTATTGTTATAGAGTGTACATTTTACAGTCTGTACACAAACACACCTATGCATTTTCTTTACACAAATGATATCCACATTTCTGAATATCACTTACGTTCACCAGAGGTGCATGCGGCTCATCACATTTCCATGCAATAACTTATCATGTACCTGTTTTAAAACTGAAATAAAAAACACGATGCAGAAACGATTCAAAATGGCAGTACATCAGAATTACTGTGCCAAAAAGTTGTTATTACACATTCTTGTATACCAATTTGTAACAATTCTGGTTGCAGTATCATAGTTAGTGCTGATGACGGTCGTATATTCGACATGCTGACAAGCCATTATTACAAGAGTGATTTCTTTTGTTAGCGTGGACATATTACCGACATGCAAGTATTATAAGTCATTATGTTATTTTAGTACAAAGCATTATAAGGTACTGTACGATTAATACACATTGACACAATTGTTGTGAGTTTCTAATTAGTGTACTATTAGTCCCTGTAATCTCACGTACTGTAAGATACGTTATTTTAGTTGGAATACATTCTCACTGAAAATACACTTTGACTGTTTTGTATCAAGTTTATTTTCACTGATTTTTGATGAGTTGAGTGTAAATTAGACATAAAACAGATTTTAGCTGGATTTAGTTTCACTTTCAGCAAAATTAGATTCCAAGTGAAAATAAGGTAATTTATATTACGTAATACAATCGTCGTAACAATCGTCTTCAGCATGCTTCTCGTGTCATGTTTCGTTGAATATTCAGTGTGGCGGTGGGATATTCAGGATTAGAAAGATAATGTAAATGATCTGTTTTCGCTTTATGCAGTCACAGTTAAGTTGAAATATAATAAGAAAGAAAAAGAATGAAACAGAAAGCTAGAAACAAATGATGCTATATAATGGGCTCGCTGTAAATTATATAATGATGGATTTATCACAGGGACAAGCCCCCTGTTCTGGAATTATTCTAGACGACACTCATTTTTGTTAACAATTAAAAGTATTTATTGACATACGGTTTTAAGTTGTATTATCTTAATGATGATTATTATCCTACAAGATCAAATGCAGTGCGTTTTGATGATATGATAGTATGTATAAATCATCGAAACAAAGCACGCACGTCTAAATCTATGATTTGTGATATATATTGTGAATAGGAAATACACAGACATCTGTATTTAAGACACGTTCGTCAACTGAATGTGCTTTGAGTTAGCGTGAAACCGATATGCCATCTGAAAGTGAGAAGGTAGTAAACTGAAAAGTGATATACATGTTATGTCAATTCTGACACATTTTGTTTTGGGACATATTAAATATATGCACAATAAATAAATGATTCTTCTACCGTCTAACGTAAGTAAACAATTGAATGATTTAGTGATTAATCGTTAACTGTTGGATGACAGATTGATGGGTCACACAGAAAGTTAAAGTAAATTAATGGTCAACTATTATATACCGTGTTCGTGGTTGACTTATCTCAATAGCCAATGTAAAATATATTGTTTGACAGAAGATTATGTAATCCGATATAGTAAGATAAAACGAACTGAATCTGATGTATGATTTATGTTACAAAGACAGTGGATTATATTGTCATAAATTTTTAATATATATCGCGTTTTTGCGAAAAAAATGGGTCCAATATTTATGACAACTGTGGCGAAAAAGGTTATACGACACTACTTTTGAGAAGCCGAGAAATACAAAAGACGTGACACTGGATTCTCTTTCAATAGCTGCTGAAGATGATATACTATGCAGTGTGGTTCATAAAAAGTAGTTCAACACTTGAGCACATGTGAGGTGTGTTATGTTTCATGTCAACGGTTTTGTAATGTCCGATTTAATATGAAGAGAAAACAAACTTGCGATGCTGTAAAACTAAACTCAAAACATTATTTCGTTCCCATAATGCAATGGTCGTTATATTGATACACACGCGAAAGTATTTCGTTGTATTGAAACATTATGGTGGCGTTTTATCGTCACACTATAGTTTTCTAGCCCGGAGGGGGGCAATACATAGAACTTGTCTAATGGGGGCGTATCCCTGAAATTGGTCTTGGACTTTAGGTATAAGTATCGGTCTTACTTCTGGTCATAATAGGTATGAATATCGGTAATAAATATGCTCTTATGTAAGCGACAGAGGTGTTTCTATGGTCAAAATAGATAGTTAATAAGTCAATATACAATGCAACTGTTGGCTTACATGTGCTTCTATTGGAGATGCTCTTCTAATTGAGCAAATACGGTAACTGTTTTTTTTTGTTTTTGTTTTTTTGTAATAAACAGTGATGGTGGAAATGGTACTTTGGTAAAAATATGGGTATAGATTTTGCCAAAATTCAGGTATAAAAATGGTCACACTTTTGAGCACTCAGGGGCACCTCCCCACCGAATTATGTATCAACTGCCTGAGCTAGAAGCCGAAGCTTCAGTCACACACAGGTCGCCTACTCTCTGTTTATTCAAACACTCAGAGAAAGCATATATTGTAACACATTTTGAAGTCTCTGACATAAACTAGGACATACTAATATTTAACCCACCTGATACTGGTGTGAAAAAAAGGAACAGATCACAACATAAACGTATACCGATTCTGATCAGTTAGAGTTTAGCTTTCACCATTTGCTCGGGAAGAGACATGATTCGGTGTTAAATTGTATTTTATTTTAATCACGTTTTAGAGTGAGTGTGAATATAAAAGCATTTTGTTTTGTTCATTTTGCTTGTTAACACATTCCTTCGTTTCATCGCAAAGTCGGTGTGCCAAACGAATGGTGGAGGTATGTTATGGTGTACCGCGTAGAGAGCATTACAAGCACTGCAATGAATAATGCAAGGTTGTGTCTCGCATTTCATACTATACGGGGATGGATATTGTATATTATTATTACATTATTATTATTATATGAATTACAACATGAACAGCTCAATGATAATTTTTAATTAAACATTTAAAATAAAATAAAATATACTGATCTCTAGCAGAGAGACAATGGGTCAGAAAATAACCAGAAACACTGACACCATATTTGCTTTGAAAAAATATGATTGTTGTTTTTCTTCAAGTGAGCATTTCTTAATCTAGTTTGAATATTTTTATTTTCTCTGTGTGGCTAGGCGCACAGAATTTCGAGAATTTACCTTAGCCAATAAAACCGCTCATTATTCTCTGGTATTTCCGGCATTAACAGTGTCTAAATAGCCCAACTTTAATTCATATATATAACATAAAGAATAACATACTCGTCTGAGCACGTGTTTTGAAATAAATATGCTTATAGGTGGGCTTTATTGAAATGTTATCATAGGTTTTCAGTTTGACAAAATAATGACACACTTGATTATACAAAAAACAAAGGTATTTATAGAGGTTGCCGTGCAAAATTACGTTGCCTATTGATTATTTGTGTGCATAGAGACAGTATATGGAATATTAGATGTTACTGTTGTTGGGTATAGGTGTAGAGTGCATAATAGAAACACATATATATCACTTGATCTTTTTGGAACGCGTTGAACTTGTTATCAATAAATTAGGACATTTACGTCATTTGTTGAAATTCAATGACTCATACACAGAGATAATCCAGCCTACAACAGACGTTTTTAGACAAATGTCAAACATAACTAGTAAGTGTTGTGTATCTTTACACACCTGCGCACGCGCGGGAATTGAGTCCCAAGCGACGAAAATAACACACACTATTAAAAGCAAAAGCTCATTGGTAGACGCTTTTTTGTAAACAATACCCCGTACCCTGTAGTACATGTATTTGATTTGTCGAGTACATTGTAGTCAGTTAGGTACCCCCGTACCCTGTAGTACATGTATTTGATTTGTCGAGTACATTGTAGTCAGTTAGGTACCCCCGTACCCTGTAGTACATGTATTTGATTTGTCGAGTACATTGTAGTCAGTTAGGTACCCCCGTACCCTGTAGTACATGTATTTGATTTGTCGAGTACATGGTAGTCAGTTAGGTACCCCCGTACCCTGTAGTACATGTTTCTGGTTGGTCTAGTACATGGTAGTCAGTTAGGTACCCCCGTATCCTGTAGTACATGTATTTGATTTGTCGAGTACATTGTAGTCAGTTAGGTACCCCCGTACCCTGTAGTACATGTATTTGATTTGTCGAGTACATTGTAGTCAGTTAGGTACCCCCGTACCCTGTAGTACATGTATTTGATTTGTCGAGTACATGGTAGTCAGTTAGGTACCCCCGTACCCTGTAGTACATGTATTTGATTTGTCGAGTACATGGTAGTCAGTTAGGTACCCCCGTACCCTGTAGTACATGTATTTGGTTTATCTAGTACATGGTAGTCAGTAGGTACCCCCGT